TTTTTGCCTGTGATTTTCTCACAAAGACATAGAGGTGTGTGAGTGTGTGTGAGTGTGTGCTCATGCATCGTCATGGTGAGTTATTCTCAGTAACGTTGGATCTCCAAGGTATATCTCCAAAAAACAGTGTTTTAGCTGTGCGTCTAGAGAGCTGTTCCCATAGGTGATGAAAAGTCACACAGATTTCAGAGTTGGCACAAACACCTCTACACAAAACTGTGTAGAGGTGTTTGTGCCAACTCTGAAATCTGTGTGACTTTTCATCACCTATGGGAACAGCTCTCTAGACGCACAGCTAAAACACTGTTTTTTGGAGATCTACCTTGGAGATCTAACGTTACTGAGAATAACTCACCATGACGATGCATGAGCACACACTCACACACACTCACACACCTCTATGTCTTTGTGAGAAAATCACAGGCAAAAAGGAAACTTGCTCAAAGTCAATACATCCTCCTGGACTTCTCAACAATAAAACAAAAAGCTGGCACAAGCTCATAGAGAATCACAGTGTACACACACACACGCGCGCGTGCATGCCTACATGTGACTCCTCTATTCAAGTGTACTTGACAATTGTCCAGATGGGCACCAGACAATGAGGCAGGCTTTTAAAGGAAGATTACTTGACCATACTGACATAAAGTCCCATCATTTCAGACCAAGTGACTGGGGTCAGAGTTGAAACCCAGGACAAAGCTATTAGAATGACAAAGTCAAGCATGACATCATCTGATATCCAATACGAGGCCTAAAGGGCGACAGTTTTGGATGTGTGTGTCTCTCAGGTGTGTGGTGTTGTTCAGATTTTAAATAGTAACACTCACATGGGAGCAAATGTTGACATTCACATATCAGTTACAAGTATATTCATCAAGAACACAAACAGGCATCATCTTACCTTGCACAGGGCCATTCTCCATAATCTCCTTCATAATCTCCTTTTCCTAAGAGGGAAGATAGATTTACAGATAAAACTGACAAAATAATAAACATCATTATACATCAGTGAAACGCAGTGGATGAACACAGTCCACCTGGATGTTAAAAGTCAGATAACAAGATTGAGTCTGGCAGCGTCCGCTGGCCTTAATGCTTGGCTTATTGACTTCACAGGCCATCAGGAGACAGAAACAACAGGCTGTAATGATTTTGGAGGCATTAACCGTCGTTTAGCCCTGATGGATGCGGGCTTGGCCACAGCTCAGCTCCTCTGAATCAGAGGAGATACTGGCAGCCACGTGCAGAGGCAGCTTCTAGATACAGTTACGATGAATGTTATGTGATACTTTGTGCTAATAAGGAAGCTAAATGGTGCTTTAAGTGGACTAAAATAAGGCATTTCAACATTTAGTCATCCAGCTTTTAAACTGTGAAATTAACTTGACACTTTTCTCCCAGAAAGTGATAAATGTGCCTTTAATATCAACCACATAGCTATCAGAGCTTAATCTTTTACTAGGAAAACACCATATAAACATGTGCTTTCATAATACAGCACAGTTGATTCTTTGTTTTCTCAAAGCAATCTGTCAGAGGTCTTGGACACTGTGTTTTCATATCACCTGACTGACTCCGTTTTCCTCAATTAATGTGGCTGATCATTAATAAATGACAAGAAGAACTAGAATTATCACTTCAGTCACATTCACAGGTATGGAACAGAACTGAGGTCATTGATCTTGACCTTTGACCACCAAAAATCCAATCAGTTCATCACTGAGTCCAAGTGGACACTTGTGCCAAATCTGAAGAAATTTCCTCAAGGTGTTTGACATATTGTGGACCGTACGAAGGGACAACCCAGCTGGAGATTAAAATACCATGCTATTCTGCTTGATGCTAAATTGATAAAGGAGTGTGTCTAAGTAGATGCTGATACAAGCATGCATCTGTCTTTGCACGTGTTACAGCACTTACATTGGATGAGAGTCTGTAGGGTGGTGTGGACTGGTAGATGTCGTTGTGGTAGTTGTGTGCGTTGGGGCAGCGCTGTGTGGCCTGTCTCTTTCCCCGGCCGACCGAGCGGCTCTGCATCATACAGCGACCCACCTCTGCTGGTGTTTGCTGGGGGGGTTGGTAGGGGTAGCAGTCTTCTGTCACAACTCTGTGACAGGGAGATATTTAAAAATGGACCAGATGTTTAGAAAGTTGCCATGAAGTTGTAATCAGATTTTACTTGAACAAGTTGATGCTGTTTTGGCTTCTAGTTTTTCTGAAATGGCAGCTTTTACCCTCTGCGCCGGAGATACCACCAAGCTCCATCAATGCGTCCCCCCGCACAGCCTCCCTGGTTGCGTGTGTCACAGGAAATAAGATTTTGGGGGGACAGCTGAGGAGTCATGTGACCCATTGACTGGATGGAGATTCTGTCCGACGCCACAGCTATGAAATATAGTGGAAAGACAGTATTAGCACTTACAATAGACAAGAGCTTCACACTAAAACCTTCTCAAAAATATTGAAAAAGATATTTTAAGATTTTATTCCCTGAATAGTTTTTTACTTTAACTCTTCAGGAAAACGAACTATGGGATAAGCAATGCCTTGGGTCTTGTTTGTCTTTTTGAACCAGTGTCACTTTACCTGCTAGCATCTTGCAAAAAAAAACTTGATCTGACTCTATTTTCCTTCTTTCTTTCACCTCATAATGACACTCCCTATTTTAAAGACATTTCCATACTTTTTCCTTATGTAATACATTCTCTGTAGGAGCTACCTGCAGTTGAGAAAGCCCAGGAAGCAGCACAGTTTCCCTGGTCCAGTGGTTCATGAATCTTCCCTGGCCACTTCTCTGCTGAGTTGAAGTAGGGAGGCAGACGATCACTCTGAGGATCCATGTTCATCTGGGAGGAGGACAGAGAGAGGAAAAAGCTAAGAAAATTCACATCAAGTTCGGTTTCTCAGCGCTTAGTTGCTATTCCAGCCTTGTGAAAAATGAGGCTGCCCTTACTGAGAAAACATTAATATTAACATTAATAAGTGAAAACAATCATTATCATAACTAATGGAGCATCTCAAACGTGGATTTAAAGTGAAACGGGGAAATGGCAGTTAGACCTGCTAACATGAAGCTGCAGCAGTGGGACTTGTCTGAATGTGTTGTGAGGCAGTGCAGAGTGACTGTTTAACCACAACAGAACAAAAACTCACCGCTGCGATCAAAGCACTCGTGGACCGTTTTGTATGACAAGTTTGACTCACAGGGAGATTACATAAGTGTGCTAATTAATAATGTTCTGGTAGAATGGGCTTAAGTAATTAGACCCATTTGGTCTAGGGTCAATCTCTGAGGCTGCAAAATCCTCTCCATGCAACCATGAGGCTGTTTGGTTATATCACTGATCACTGGCCACACTGAATTCACAGCCCTCAGGGAGGCATCCATCTCTATTCAGAATATCACTGATGATAAATCCTAATTAGGATGATAAGCCTGTAATAAGAGTGCAGGTATTCTCCTGTTCATTCATTTTCACAAGCAGGTACTTCTCAGATGCCAAACATTCTCGATCTATTAGCTCTCATGAGCTCCCAGTTACATCTGCTAACACAGCTGACCCCCCTTCTCCCTCACACAGCCTGGCTGCTTGGCCTGCATTCCTTTGGTTAATGGTGTCTGACCCACAGCATGTTCAGCCACCTGATGCGTAACTAAGGAATGTGCTGCTAGTAAGAGACTTGTATTTATGGAAGGTCAAATCCAAACAAACAGACATCTGAACCACCTGACCTAAAGGTGTGATAAAAGAATATGTGTGCGTTTGCGTGTGTAATAAGTTCATTCATAGATTTACAATTCTCCAACACCGGAATTCACAGGCAGACAGGAAAGTGGGAGGGAGATTTACAAATGGGCTACGAGGCTCTGTTCTGGTTCCTGGCACAGGTAGGGACATGCTGAGAGCGGAAGAAAGAGGGGCAGTTGTGAGGGGTATTTTATGCAGAAGTCATGGAATGCTGAGAGGCAAAGTGGGGGGAGGAAGGATGGATGGAAGTAGGGTGGAGGTGGGCAGGTGCAGACTAAAGGAGAGGTTGCTCATTACTCTCCAGGCAGCCACCATCTCCTCTGCCTGATGTTCTGGTTCTGTCTTTTGTAATTTGTCTGGGGTTCCAGACGGAGATGCCATCATCATTTGGCTTGCTCTATGCTTGTCGATACAGCAGCAAACCAGATTCTACATATTCTAACAAATATTGCCAAAAAATTAAATAATAATAAAAATTTAACTTTAAAATGTTTTCTTACCTCTGCAGTATCGCTGACCCACTGGTGGGTCCAACACTGAAGATTCAATTGTGCATAAAAGCAGTCTTTTCAAACATACTAAACTGTATCGTACCTTCTGGTGAAAACAGAAATCCCAGAGTTTCTAATGACACCGCATTCATCAGCCAAAATCATGGGGAAACATTTAGAATAAACTCCCAAAACAATTCCCTTTCTAAGATGATGAGGCCTGTACCTGGATCTCGTTCATGTTCATAACAGTCCTGGAGGGTGGCTGTGTGCCAAGGCGGTACCGGATGCCCTCATCCAGAGACATGCCATAGAATTGACTATAATTAGCTGCCCTCCACCTGAAAACACAGAAAATATGTTGGCGATAATTAGATTGTCTCTAATCAAATACCATCAAGTGTGTGTGTGTTAGATAATTACCCAAAGTGTCCTCTGTTGACTGCATGGATTATGTCAGGCTCCATCAGACAGGCATTCTGCTCACACTCCCATCGTCCTAAGGCCCCACACGTACTACACAAAAAGATGAGAGCATTAAAAGGTATTCCCAGCTGTAAGTGAAGGAAAATAGATTCAGTCTCTATATTTATGCTAAAGCCAGTGAAGTCAACAGCAAAAATAGAGATACCATCTCAGACACAGACAAATATGCAGAGGCTCAGTGGAATTCCCAAATAAGAGATTAATTCAGAGAAGAACGTCAGTAGCTGAAAAAAGACTACAAAGTAAATAAATGGGGGAGTGAGAAAAAGAAGGAAAGGTTGAAGGGTACACTCGGCCTTTTAAGGCTTCAGCACGCAGATCCATATTTAGTCTGAAGAAAGCAGGGGAAATGAAGAAGTCAAGGTGATGACAGAGGAGATAAGAGAACGGGATGTTAATGATGACGTTCAGATGTGCTATGGGACGCTCAAAAACAGAGAATTTGACTGTGAAGGTGTGTAGTCAGACAAGTGGTGGGAAGAGTATTAAGATTTACTTGTGTTGGTAAACATACCAATGCAACAATATGATTATAAATCAATCATTTCCTTTTAAAGGTAAAAGCATCACAAGTATAAAAGGTAGCAGGACTCATTATTCTAACCGACCTCTTTTGGAATGTTACATTATTACATATGTTTGTATGTACTACTATAATCTGTAAGATCATATGTTTTAGGTTATCTTTTAATAGAAAATAAACTAGTAACCTCTGTGACAAAGAAACTATCTGTAAAGAAAAACCTTCCTTCAGTAGAAGTACAAAACTGTACTGTACTGTAACTACAGCAGACTGAAGGCTGACTCACAAAGACTGTGGCTGATAAGAAACCAATGCACGTGCCTACATGCCATTAGCTCGTCTACTACTGATACTTTAGAGCAAATGTTTAAAAACTTTGCTGCACAAAATGTACAGTTTTATCAGAATCCACTTCTCTTTACAGATTCCACTTCCTGTATTTTCAAATGTCTGTTCAGTATAAACTTCACATTATGCAAGTCTAAGACAATAATGATGCCACACACAAAAAAAACAAACAAACTGCCATTACACATGTTTAAACATGTCTACTCTAAACTATACAACTATTGGTGGATTACCAATGTTTGTATTTGATTACAAAGACTTTCTGGAATGTCATTTTGCTCCGTCCCTTTTTACACCTTACGCTTTCAGTAAGGACAAAGTTCACACTCATTACTGTTCCCTGAGCCTCGAAGTTACTTGAACTTACTGACAAGGTTCGTGTAAAAAGCCTGCTCTACTGTTGTGTAACAGTAAATGTTTATGTTCTCATGTCTATTTTAGAAAAAATGCCCTGGTTAAGTAAAGTTACTAATAATAAAGTGCCTGTGTTTGGCATCTACAAGGTCATCACTTGTAGAATTATAAGCACTGTGCGCCAGTGAGAGATAAAAAAAATAAGGGGTGCCATCCATAAAGTCTACTGTACATTAGACATCACATTTACTCGGAGGTGGAAGCTGCCCAGGAGAGTCAGTGTATTCATACACACACACACACACACACACACACACACACACACACACAATGGTGAAGTAGCCACATTCCCCTCTAGTTACACTGAGGCCTACAGAGTGTCACTTCTCAAACTGCACTCCTCCCTGCTGGATTCCTGAGACACAAGTGCAATACAATTTTCCAGCACATCTGCACACACACAGGCAAACATTTGACCTGTGACCTCTGTCTGTCCTGCGTCCCACAGAGGACTGGCTGATGGCCTCTGATTAGAGAAAAAACACAAAGACCGTTCACTTCTCCCTCCCTTCAGGAACACAGGCATGCAGCTCTGTGCCAATGGGTCTAAAACAAAAATGAATTCACGCAGTGATGCTACTTGACACACACACACACACACACAAGTACAGGCATGATGACAGACATATGGAGACAGGGCAAACAGAGTGTGACTGAAAATAAAATATAAGGTCTGTGAGGATGATGGGAGGCCATATTTCACATTACACTTATTCAGCATTGTAAAAGGTTCATTAGCTGTTGTCCAGTCTGTACAGCACAAGTGGACAGAGCAGAGGTGCCGCCAACTCAAAGTGGGTATAGTTGCTTCTTTGGGCTGAATGAGAATGCTGGTATGAGCAGCAGGCACCGTGTTTCAGATCATTTGGAGCAGATAAGGAATTATCAGGATGACGACCACTCAGGGAGGAAAAGGCCTCAGCTGGAGATTTAATTAACACAACAAAAGGCTGCCACACTTATCACATGACAGTAAACGCTGCTTTAATCATTCATGCTCAGTCAGGTTGTGCTGTCTAGGGCTGACACAACGTGCACAGGAGTTATTTCACGCTACTGTAGCGATAGATAAAGTTCATACTGATTGACACTGATGTCAAAGTGCATACTTTTATGGAGTGTAGCTGTAGTATTTCACTAAATGAACAAGGGTTCCTTTTTTGTTACAGTCAATGAAGAGATGTAGGAAGAGCAGATAAGAGTTTGTGGGGGCTCGGCCACTGCTAATGAGAGACTATGGAGGGAAAAGAGGAAGAGCTGTTCCTCGACTCAAAACGGAAGCCCCATCCTCTGCCCTGGCCTTCAGCCCTGATTCTGACAGAGCTGGGAGGATGCACATTTGGGAATTTAAAAAGTGAAGAGAGTAGGAGTAGGAAAAGGGAGTTTGTGTGCATCCCTGTGTCAAGTTGTGGTGGAATTTGTGCCTTAACAAGCATGTGTCAGTGTATGTTTTCTGATGACCTGGAACCCCAGAGGCTATTTTTACCAAGTACTTCATGTTTGCTCCACCTCCACAAGTCTTTTCTCAAGAAGACATGTTAGGCCTGCCATTATCAGCCTACATCCTCACCTATCTACATGCCCATCGGACCCTTTAGGTCAGCTCTAATTGAGCTGCCTCAGTAAAAGTCACGCTTTGGGACTCTCAGGTCGACACAGCAGCTACTGGAGTCAAACAGCTGCAAGGCTAAAAGCAGATAATGTGGAGATCAGTGAGGTCATCTTGGTTTAACATAGACGTGTCCTGACAAACAGCCCCAGTGTGTTCTTGCTGCATGAAAAGTAAATATAATACAGATGTACAAATGAATGTTAAATCAACATTTGCATTCAAGAGCTCATGTTCACACACGTACACATGCAGACAAGGACTTTACAGATCATCAAGTTAAAGAGGAGTGAGAAACAACAGTAGAGAACAGGTGAGGAATTCAATTTCTCTTCTTCCTGCACTCATTTAACCTCCTCCCTCAAATGACTCAAGAACTGCTTAGTGTCACCCTGACTGTTCTTCTGTATAATTCAGAAAAATGACAACAGCCACTTGGACTCTGTTGCCTTCAGGGTCTGGAAGGCCACTGAGATAAGACACTTGGCTGCCACTGAAGGCTAAAATTAAAAATGCTGTTTTTAAAAACTCTGCTCCATTCCAGGGTCGTCGAGCAATGCAACAGAGTCAAGGAGATCTCAAAACAACAACCTGAGCTTTGTGTCACAAGGCAACTGTTTAAATATATTCTCTGTTTTGCAGCTACTGTTCCTCCTGTTGTAGAGACAAACTGCTGAGCTGTTTGTTACTTAAATGATAAATGACTTTATCAGCAAAGGCTGTTCAAGGCATGGGATAGTAAATTTTAAAACAAGACTGTCCTGGCAGATGTTTAGTGAATCAACATTTAGATAGAGTGTTCCATAGCAGTCTGTAGACACAAACACAACTATTAACAATGACAAGAGCAAATGAGTTCAAGGTTTCACTATAGAGGTTATGGACATTCCTAAGGTCAACAAAAACACCGTTAGGCCTAAAACCCCTGGATTCATGTGCATATGTCCCTTTTCTATCTCATTTCCTTGAGGTCTTTTTCACAGCAGACGTGTTGACTCATCATAGGAAAACCAGATGTGCTTAACATTACATAAAAACGGGTTCTGTTCTGTTCAAGCATCCCAGTCAACTGTGACAGTGAGCCAGCATGCACAATATCAGGACCCTGAAACTGAAGCAGTTAAATGCAATTCAGCAGTAATTAAGTTTACTAGTCACACCTGTGCTTATTCTGCCATGACATCAAATGGAGAAACAGTTCTGACATACAGTGCAGGAAGTGGGGCAGTGTATGTATACTGTATGCAGATCATGTGATCAGTGTGAGATTTGCACTGGGTATAAAAACTGAATATTACTCCATAAAGCCACTGTTAGTTTTGGTATTAGAAGCACGTGTTGTGTGACACGTATTTTGCAACCCACCACAACTCCATTTTAAATTCCAGTACAGATCCCAGAGGCTTCAAGAATACCAAGTAGTGTACATAAACAGGAAGTTTAGAAACTGTGATGCAAGACACATCTACAGCTTTTTGTTGTAATGGTGCATCCATAAATACATCTCAGGCTTGAATATTTAACTCAGAATAAGCATGTAATGTAAAAACAAGTAGATACAGTGCACATGTTAAAGAAACAGTCAAAAGGCAACATTTTGGTGACATAAGATGATATTTGAGGGAAAGTCCAGGTTTTGCAGAGGTTAAAAAAGAAACAGAGGAAGAATGAGGGGTTTACATACCATAAATTGCAGTTCTCTTTGTATGTTTGCCCTGTTAAGAATACGTTTCCATTTCTTTGGCAGGTGCCTGAGAGAAGACAAATGGGAAACTTAATAAAAACGGCTCTGATGTGGACAAACAACAAAGATTCTACCTGAGGGCGTAGGAATATGTGAGGTCTTAAGAGGCTCTAAAGTCCATAATCCAGTGTAGGAATGTGGCGTGAGCTTCTTTCCTGACTTTGCAGGCGCTGGTCATGCTTTAACCAGCTTCTGCTCCACTTCACCACGTCTGGTGAGCTTGTAATAATTAAGCACCAAAAAATGTCTTAGCATTTGTGAGCTGCAATGGTGAGGTAAAGTCCACTCTGCATTTTCACAAACCACAAAAACAATTTAGCATTGACACACTATTGATATTCTTTTGAATGAATTTGACCCATTACAGTTGAGGTTTGAACTCTTTTGCTCACAGACTGTAAAAAACTATGACCTGGTGACAGGCTCATAATGAGGTTTATCTTTATCACTTTGATTTACAGTGGAAGGTCCTGTCAGTGTGAACTGCATGTGAAATTTAGAGCCTGAGCTGACAGAAAAATGATTGTTTAAGTAGCTTTCTTGGTCTCTGGTGTGAGACAGGGGAGTAGTTTATGACTGAGGACCTCAAGTACCCATTTTCTCTTCAACAGCTGTCACAATTCATTAAGTGCAGAGCTGCACTGTGTGAGAAGTTACACGTTTACAGACAGATTTTATACAGAGAAACTGAACTGACAGTGTATGATTTCCACCAGGTCTTGTGAGTCTGTGGTCAAATCTGTGTGTGCATTCTCTTAACATGCAATGGTGTGTGTGTCCCACCTCGTAATCCCCCTACCTTGTCGCCCGGGAAACACATACCTGCAGCAACCATTCAGCCTCCCTCCTGTGCCTGTTGTGTGTCTCCCCCTCCCTCTGCATAGCCCACATTCCTTCTCCTGACCTTCATTCATCCCTTCATCCACCCTCTCTCTCTCCCTCTGTCTGTCTGGGTTAATAAGAAGCTTACTGTTCCCTACTCTCATCTCAGGTAGGCCTCTGCTGTCGCTGGCCCTGAGAATGGTACTGCAACTGTGTAGGGAGTCCAGATGTGGCCATCTCAACAGTTACATAAGTGGGGAAAACAAGCAATAGAGTAACTTATTTATAGTACTTAGGAATTGTATGAAAATTTGTCTTGATTTTTTTTTAGTTGCTGCTCAATTGCTTCTGACTGTACCAAACATATGATTAAAAATCAGAGGCAGTTGGAGCTTTGCATATATAGCTCCTAGGCTAAGGAGCGAGTTGCCACTTCACATGAGGTCAAAACAAATAGGAGACTCATCCCCTTCTCGTTCCAATAATTTTCATACAATGCCTTACTTACGCATTCTTGTGAGTTTGAAGGAGATCATGTATGTAGCTGTACTTCAGTTTTACACATATGGAGACCTGGATCAGCGACAGCTGCCTGTTTGGTGTCAGTAGAAACCGGGTGTTGCCTCTCAGTACACCCCGGCTGTGCGAGATGGACACAAAAGGAGCCCAACAATGCGACAGCCCAGAGTTAGGGAAAGCCCAACTTTAGAGAGCCAACCAGGATTCTACTTCCACTTGTTCCAGTGGAAGTAGAAGTAAAAAATTACTACTCCCAAGGAAAAAAATGCAGGGAAAGAAAGTTGTTTACTACTACTTGCATTGTGTTACATGTCTTGTCAGTGGCCTTCTCTACAGCTTTTAACTAACTCACACGCACAATCCCACCGATATTCACTGAAGCACATTTACACTTGTGCACTTACGAATGATAGGTGGCGGAATACCTAAACAGGTATCCCAGAAGTCAGGGCAGCAGTCAGCGACACTACGGTTGCAGAAAATGTCACAGTAGCAGATGGTGTCCAGGTAGGGCTCTGTGCACAGGTCATCCCTGCCAGGGCAGCAGCCTCCTCTCCTCTGGCAGTATGAACCAAATGGGTCCCTGATGCCACCAACATGGAGTGGACTGGCAAGCTCCCTCTTGGTCCTTTTAGACAGGAGTCTGTCTGCAGCGCCCTCTCCCACCACCAGGAGCAGCGCCACCACAGTCAACAGGACGAACTTCATGATAAGACTGTGAAAGGAAAGAGACAGGAAATAGTTTAGATAAAGGCAACGCTATTCAAGTCATGCTTATTATAAAAGAATAGTAATGTGAGGCAATGGGGAAAACACATTTGTCCAAAGCTGGGCACACTTCACAGGAGAGGAAGAGAGGCGAAGAGGTTGCAGTGTGTGAGCAGCATAACTGGAGCATGACTGCTGCCAGCACACGATCCACCTCCCGCTGTGTGATGCACATGCACACTGATGCATATACATTTGCTTTGCTAGCACACACACAAGAGATAAGTTTAAGCAGAACAGGGTGTACAGTAGATGGTCCAAACAGAAACCCATGTGCTTCTTGGAGATCATCTGCTCACTTTGTTTTTCAATCTTTCTTTACAAGCTGCCAAGACAAACAGCTGCTAAAAACAGAAAGAAAAGAAGGAGAAAACAAGTACGCAATTACATAAAAACTGAGATCTTTAAATATGTTGCATAGTGTATGATGGAGCCATTTCAGGTCTCAGTGTGAAAGAGCAACTTTTTTGTCTTTGTATATGTTGATATTTACTGTAGCCTTTCTTTTACTGTATTTATTTTTATTTACAATAGCATGCTGAAGCATTGCAGTGACAGCTGCATTAAAATCACTTTGTAGTTAAATATGTTTCAGTGCAGTCTGGGGGAGGGGACATTATCATCTGAGATTAGGATGTTATGACAATAACGGAAATAGAGGAAAGTCCTGCTGCCAGAGCCAATCTATCACATGTGAAGACAGTGTCTGGGGGATCAGATACAGTCTTCTCCCACTATTAATGGACTTTACAGACAATAAAGCTTATCTAAGTGCTATGTTGGGGGCACTGAAGCAGGACAGACAGAGGAAACTACTTATATACTGTAAATGCATGTTTTAACAAAGTCCCAGAAACTAAAATAATAACATCTGTGCTCCAGCAGGTGACTCTGGGATCAAGTGTCATCATAATAAGCATTTCAGAGTGAACAAGAGAAGTGGGAACGGTCAAGGGAAATCAGAACAATTTGATACATGAAAAATCAAAGCAAAACAAAAAAAAAAAAAAACACAAGCCCTCTCTTGGTTTTAACTATTAGACCGTCTATTCCCCAGTGTGTGCATATGCACATTTAACAGCTTAGCTTGCGTATGTAAGAAAGACCAATCAATCTCTCTATCTTGACCTGATTACAGTCAAACAATTATCCATATTGTTTGTGTATGTTTTCATGTCTCAGGATACTGAAGGGGTCAGTGTATTTAGGGCCAGACAAAGACAAGGGGTTGGGCTCTGCTTACATACTGCCAATAGTATCATTAATTATCCAATCGGGTCTCAGAGCACAATAGACTCTGCACATGAAGCAGGGACTCCAAAAAGATCTTTGCTGTGTTGTTTTCAGCATGACTGCACACTTATTTGAAATGCACACACAAGCAAATGGCAGCATGGGATGGGCAGGTCCCCTCCTTTACCCAAGTGTTTTACAGTGACACACCCTGACCAGCAGTGCAATAAAACACCCACCAATCTGCTCAACAAGCTGCTGAGGTCTTCAGGTCAAACTGTCAGTGTATTCTCCAACTACTGTATCTTCCATACAAGAAAATACTGGTGTTTGGCCCAGTACATACAGCTGCAGCAAGACATTTAATTATTTTACTTAGTGAATTTATTGAGCGACCCTGTAAAACTCAATATTTCAAGCATATTAAAACATTTAAGTAAATAAAACCCTGCATCTGATGTTGATAAATTGATACTGTAGCTTTAAGTTGATGTCTCCGCTCAGTTTTATGAAATAGGGTTTTACATAGTGTCACTGAAGCTACCATATGGCCCTTTAGTGCTCCAGACAGCTATAACCAAGCTACTGATCCCACACTGCTGCCCCAGGACAGATGAATTCTTAGCATGGGCAACTCACACACAGACACACACACCTATAAAGTACTGTGTGTCAGCATACACTGGGGCCACAGAGATAACTATGGGTTTCTCAAAAGCTGTATTAACCAGTGATATTTGACAAACCCATAATGTCATTTAAAAACACTTAGTTGTTCTCAAGGTATCTCTAGAATCCCCAGACTCTTCTAACCATATGGATAATAAAGTATCTAGTTCATTAAATGATAAAAAAGATCTCTTGCTTTCCAAGTTGCAACTCTGTTTCCAAATCAAAACAAAGATGGTGGCCTGCCGACTACCTGGACAGGAAACAGAATCATAGAAATCGTGCTTTTAAACAATCTCCTGGATTTTTCTGTCATCACTGGTCAGTTAAGTTTTATCTCTGTGACCTGAATGCAAGCTGATACAAGAGGGGCACAGACCCGGGCTCATCTCACAGCACCTGTATGATGACTGCAGTCAGCTGGACCTTCATCACCCTGTTCACCACCTACACTCAAACTGATCACCACTGTGAGGAATCGCTGATTATCTCAAAAAATAATTAAATATATTGATTATATTAAAGGGTCAGTTCATCAAAACTACAAAAACATACTTTGTGTCATATAGTATCTCTACAAGTGCCCAGCCACACAGGTACTTCTGGTTTTATTTGCCCAGGTTTTGAGATATGTTTTTTTTTTCAGCAGCACCACATTCACTAAACACTGTGAGATTTCTTTCTATTGACAAAATTGTCTCTATGATATTTTAAAGGCATGTTAAAACTTTTAAATGCAATTTTCAATTCTCTGACCTCCAAAAATTAAAGCTTCCTCGCCTCATGACTGTACTGTAGAGGCATAAACATTAGAGAATAATATCTGAAAAACTAGACCAATAAAAAACCTAAATTATCTGCATGGATAAGTGAAACAGTATATTATATTTCTGATTTGGGTGAAGCACACCTTTAATTCCCCTGCTGACACACATTCTCTGACCCCACTCCTTTCCTTCCTTTCACACAGCTGAAGAAACCACTGCACCACCCATCAGATAATTGAAGTATCTGGGCTCAGTCTATCTGTATAAAAGGTCCTTTCAGCTCAGTTTCCCTCTGTGTCACACAGTCCTTGACTATTATCTATCCAGGTCTATTTTTAAAACACCCACCAGATCAAGGCAGTGGACAACATTTATTATAGCATACAAGTTTATAATGAGACCTGCACCACAACAGGTGAGTGAAGGGACTACTCAGTCTGTGAACCATACAAAAAGAAGCAGCCACACACTCACTGGACTCAAAAACCCCTTGAAGAAAAATATTCAGTCTCCCTCTCATATTCTTAATAACATCTGGCATATTGTGTCCTATATTCCCACACCCAGAAGGTAAACATGTTGCAGCAGTTAATAAGACATGACTGATTTAAATTCTACAAGTTCTGTCTCAGAGAAATTGAAAGAGAGAAAAAGAGACAAGTGAAGTCAGAGAGCTTAAAAACTGAGTTCAGAATGAACAAGAACAGTGTAAACCAAGTGGTGACGTTCAGCCTGCACCTGCCTTGAATCTAGAAAACAAGCTGCTGTTGAAAAGTGAAGAAAGCAAAAAGTTTATTTACCTTGAGCTGAGAGCAAAGTCTGGGTTGTATAATCCACTAGAAACTTTGTTGATGTGTTGCTCAGGAAGGCAGTCACAGGTAGAGACAAATTCAGTCTCCTCTTTCTCTCTTTCTCACACTCAGGATCTGCTCTGTCACACTCTGTCTTCTCTATATACAGGCAGTCAGTGAGGGCTAACCACTCCCCCGAACCCCCCTCACTCTCTGCCCTGGCATACTCCCTCTGTCACACTCACACTTCTTTTCATGTGACTCCCACAGGTTGACTATCTCTTCATGCCTTAACTCTCCTTATCAGACTAGGACGTCTAATCTGAAAGTGAAATGGTTTGCACTCAGTCACATCTATAATCGTTCTGCTGCTTCCACTTGTGCTTATGCTGTCATTTTCAGCGACAGCAGCATTTTCTTCTGCACTGTCTGTGTCTTTTCTCAACAGGGTGCAAGAAATCTGTTTGTGGCAGACACAGTGGTGAGTGCGCCTGCCATCTAGTGGTCGCTAATTGCATAACTTCACCTCAGGCAGCCAGGAACTAAGAAACAGCTTGTGGAAGACCTTCCAGCTTCTAGAAATTTACAACCCAGCCTCTTGGGGTGAAATTTTGGCATTTAAGTGAGGCCCAATCCTCTGAAAGTACAGAATATTCCGGACATTTATTTTTATGCACAAATCACAGTCATCCTGAGTCTGTTCACATAATTAGCTGCTGTTTTGTAACATCTCCTCCCTTCTAGCCTAAGTAAACTGAGTTCATTCAAATCATAAATGTCTCAATTTTCTGATATTTTTTGGACAAGAATGATGAACAGATATTTACCAAAAGCCCCCCCATGTCACCCCTGAATTAATCAATAAGCTAATGTCTGGATCAATAGGTGTTACCCAGCAGGGTATTAGACAGGGTAGATGTGAAAGAAGGGCAGGGATATCACGGCAAAAGAGAACACAAAGAGACTCGAAAGTACCCACATGTTAGTATGCTGAAATATTAAATTACAACTTGTCATCAAACCTAAAATAAGAAAAGAAAGTGGGGTACACCTGGATGCGAGACAATACAGCTTTTACAGAATATTCTTATGCAATAACTTTCTGAGAAACTGATAGTGTTAAGCTGTCTGGTTGGGGCATCCCTAGACATGAACACACCACAGTCTTTTGTCCAGCCTGAGTCAGTCATCTGCACATTTCACACAGTGTGTCTAACTGAAATGACATGTTTTTGTCAGTAATATGAGCAAATACAAGACAGTTCTGGGTAAGGTGGGCTTTTCATGCACCACTATAATTATGGCTTTAACACCTCTTACACAACCTCATACCTTCAGAAAAGATGCTCTAATCTATGTTTACCATCACCGCCTTCTCAGTCATTATTATACCTTCTACTGCTTTCTAGTGAACCTTTATTGAGTTATACTAAAAGTAAAAGAATGCACAGTTACTGGCAGCTAATGAGTCATATATAGCATGAGGGTGCAGCTGTGATGCCTTGTTGACGGTAAGTGGACAAGAGCTTTTTTGTAGCCATCTGTAGGAGTAAGTGTGTGCATGTGTTGAGTTAGGACCCTCAGATAATCCCTCTGAATCAGAATAAAGTCACCAGACGTGTGTGATTCATCTTCAATTTATCAATGAAGACGATTACAGTGAATCATGGTGAATGGCTGAAGTATGTTTCACAAGGACTGTAGGCGGTGTGTTGTAAGACCTGTGCATGTGATATGTACATTGTAGGCCTGCAGTGACTCAGGCTTGAACAAGCCTTCCAGATGTTTAACTGTGACCCTTAATTCTTAGCAGCAGCAGAAAAAAGGAAACAGATATCAGATCAGCAGCGCTTCTGTTTGTGAGGCCATTGACCCCGAAAACAGACTGAAATGTGTAGGCTGAGGACACACACGGTAACAATAGAGCCTATACATACACAGATGGCTCAGCGAGTGCACTCCAGGGAACAGCAGCACATCCACACACACATGCACACACACAAATAGGCATGCTCATTTATATCAATAGACTTTTAGTGTGTTTAATGAGAAAATTTCAAGGATGGACCTGACAGGCGAATGGTGTGGGCCAGAAACACACACATGTTTTTCCTACAGAACAATCCCTCTCTTTCTCTTAATCATTGCATCAAAGTACTCCCATGATGTTACACAGTGAGGTCAAGAATCCCAGCTGCGCTGTGTCAGGGTGGAGGTCTGCTCCTCTGACCCCACAGAGGACTGGACACATATCCCTCTGAATCTCTCTGGAGTACTTCCTGTTCCAGGAACATGCAGGACGGTGTGACTAATAGTAAACAAGGACATTTCTAGATGTTTTCAGACAGTTAGCATCAGGAGTATGGAAAACACCCACGCTAGTACTGATGAAAAGTACAGACGTTTGGGGGAATATCAACATTTCATCGTACCATTTGTTCTCTCTTTTCTGCTTCTGGAGCTGCACTGACAGATCGTTTTTGATAGATGTACTTTTGTTTAGAGGTTCCATGCTTCTCAGAAAACAACCCTCACAAAAACAGCTTCATGGAGTGGAATATGAGATACATGTATAATAGTCCCCTTTCTCTCTGTAAGCCTCTTGTTAAGGTCGGTTTCAGGCTCAGGTTTCTTCTCATGTCAAGTAAAACAGGTCACAGTCCTGTTTGGGGATCTAAGGTTGCTTTTGTTCTGCATATCTCCGAGACAAAAAGTGAATGGAGCAAGGACAAGGAAGGTGACAGGAAGACCTTTTAAACTGCATGGATGTGAAAATCCTTATAATAGCAGATGTGAAACCAAACTGTGAAGGTCACTTCTTGAAAATGGCTGACTAAAGGCTAAACCTAAAGGGCAAAGGGGACAATGGTACCGACTCAGTGAAAACTCTGGAGATATACACAGCACACACACATACAGTATCTGTACATTATCAAAATGACACTGTCAGCTTTTTAAAAACTTATATCAATTAATCATATGCCTGGACAAGGCCTGTTTCAATCAGTGGTTCCATCAATGATGAAAAAAAAATCCTCTAAAAGTCAGTCAGGCCATCATCTCTGCCACTGTCACGCCTGACCATGTCGACCTGACCCAAACCATTGACTTGCAGATTGATTACTACTGACTGAGAATTGACAGATTCTGAATCATCTAGTTGTAGAAAAACTGAATTAGTAAAAATCTCTCTCATCTTCATTTACATCAGCAAAATCAAGCAGAGGTTCTGCTTAAGATTCATCCATTGCAGGGCCTACAGATGCCGACAGCAATTTTATGGGCTTTTACTACAGTGGAATCTCAACAAAAACACGTATGTGCGAATTATGTTCATCATGTTGTCAGATACTGAGTTAAGTCATTTTTGTGCTAACTAAAATCACTTGTTATACCAGTGCTTAGCGTTAGGTCACACACTGTACCACCATTTCGATGTATTTCCAGGACTAAACAGTAATAAAAAATAAAAAAAAAATTCATTTTTATTTTTTATTATTTGATGATTCAGTTATTGACTATCACATTCACTTCATTATAAAATCAGCACCATGCCTAAGCTTTTCTCAAAACACTAAAAAACCCAACATGTCATTAGTCTGAAACCAAACATGGAAGCAGTCACACAGAAATATTAAGTCAATGAAAAACTCTCTCATCAAACATTTTCTTTTTTATCACATCACATTATAAATCCATTTTAAAAGGCTCGTGCTGAAATTTTATTACTTCAAATTGAACTGCATGACCTTTTCAGTGCCAAAGACTACACGATATCTAAACAAAATCAGTGCCTTGAGGTGTTTCTTCATCTCATTAAATAAATGCCGCCTTCAGTTTGTTGGCACAACAAGCCATGTAAAAGTTACAGTATGTGACATGCAGAGGCTTGTTGCTTCGCTTCTTTTGTATTTTTCAGCTGCACATACACATCTCTGGTGTGAGAGAGGTGTTTCTATGAAGTCTGTGTTGCAATCATCACTTCTTATGTAAGAGCAACATAAATTAATTGAAGACATTTGTGGTAAACACTGATTCTTTCAGTTGCAAAGGGAGAAAGTGCACAGTAACACAGGATAGCGAAGGGAACCAGATCTGGTCTTATTTAAGACATGTGTGTCCACAGTGGGCACACATTTCTATTAATGATGTCATCTCTTCACTAAACAAATAGACAAGAATAGGCCTCAGGTGGTGCTTCACACCCCCCATCTCTCCATCCATCCATCCCTCCATCCCCACAGGGACTGACCCAGTTGTGGTGGTCTTAACACCCTCACTCAATACCCATCACCCATCTCTGCACTTATCTATCCGTCCATCCAGGGATTGCTCATCTCCTGTAATGGTGTGTAACACATCCACTATTGGTCTATTGATCTCATGTCACACCAGCATTTAAACAGAACATTTGCAAGACAAAATCAATTGGTTTCAATAAAATCATAAAGACATGCAGATCTGATGCAGGGCCAAAATAAATACACATAATTTCTCCACTGTCAAGTTCAGCTTTGGTGAACTCTGACTCTTAAATTTGTGCTGTTGACCAATACCAAGCCATCTTGTCATTGCTGACTTGTGAGGGACAACAGAGTTCAAACTGGTGGACCTTATTGCAGCTAGTTGTGTTGCTACATCCACTTTTGTTTAACCTCCTTTGTTGGTGTATACACTGCTCTAAAATACATGAATGCAAAACAGGAGTCTCGTGGTAAACAAGTCTTTTGTTTAAACTGTGTTATGTCATCAGCTACCAAGCTAGTAAGCCTGCTAACTGACAGTGTGACCAAAATCAGTTACTCCCTCTTTTACTCATTCACTACTCCCTGTATTATATAGCACAGTACAGAGGAAATACAAACACCCTCATAAAGCAATTGTCACTCACTACTACTAGCATGTTTCCAGCTTGCTAACATCTTACCCATAAGCTCACTAGTTACATTAGTTCACCAGTTCACCCTGTGAGAAGTGTTATTTTGTAAAGACAGATGTTTGGACTGGGCTGCATGAGCCTACCATTGTGCAAAGGCATATATGGTGCCACAAAGATTAAAAAAAAATAAAAAAGCTCCAAATTTGTCTTCATAATACAAAGGAATTTATCTATGTTGCCATCCTCAAGTTGGTGTTTGAGTCGTTTTGTAAAAGCATAGA